TGGTTAAACCAACATTTGCGGCGAATTTATCATCGGAATAGCAATGGATTATCGCCGACGGAAAATAAGTAATACAAGAGCGAGAATCGGTGTACGAATTCCAATCATTTCCGGTTTAATAACAACTTCATGCATAATAGTTAGACTAATTGCGTTAATTATAATTATTATTGATGCTGATCCAGTTTGTATTGCGATTAATATGCATTTAGCGGGTTAATTTAAACCCAGCAACGCCATCAATGTTTGAAAACGTCGAACCGATCTCTTGACAGATTTATAAGTGTGGATTATTCTGGCGCACATGTGGCCGTGGTTATTTACCGTGTTTTAAGTGTTTTTCAGAAGCTGTAATTAGCGATTATTACAATGTTTGGCCGAATTGTTCGCTATTGGATTTATGTGGTTTATAAACGATTTCGATGTAGTTTCATGTGTGGAATTTTATGCGAAGTATTTGAGAGAACGAAATTACTCGATTGGTTACATTGTTAGCGTTGAATTTTATGGTTGTTGATAGATAAATGATTTATGTTGTTTTGGTTTGTGATTATTGTAATATTTTTGAAAATTCTGTAAAGGGTGGCTACTAAATCTTTCCCGTTATACGAATTCGATAGTTTTCGATTTTGTATAATTTTTTATCAAATTAATGAAATTTAACGATTTAAAAAACTGGTATTTTGGTTTTTGGATAACTAAAACAACAAAGCTCAAACCATCCTGCACCTACAATAAGTTGGGTTGTATGTTTATGATTTTGTTATGATTCATTCAATTTAAGGATTTTAATCGGAAATTTCTTTTCCCCTACGCGATAAACTTGAAACTTACAGTACTAAATACACACAATACAGTATTAATATACAAATTTTGGCTGCACTTTTTAAAATAATTTGTAATTTTTAATATCTTCAAAGCAGAAACTTTTTACAAGAATCAGATTCAAAGAAAAATGTAAAATAAATACAAAAGTACAATTTATTCAGTTAATATTAATTTCCGTTTATTTGTGAATCAAAGCTTGACAATCGTGTGTTCTTGGCTTGGACTTGCTAATCAAGCTATTAACATTAGAATCAAGCTAATCAAGCTATTAACATTAGAATGACAATCATTATTGTTAAAACATTGATATTTGTCCATTCGCGGGTCTGTCTGCCACATGACGCAGTAAAATATACATAAACCTGAGAAACAGGAGTGACTCGCCTTGTAAATATAATACTTCCTGACGCTGTTATTGTTGGATGTTGTATCCCCGTTAACATGGGATTAATTATTTTTTTTAACAGCCCTTTTTCCATGTTTAATATTAATCATATTCATAACAATCGTAAGTTTGAAATTTAAAAACCTACTTTACTTGAAGACGTTATCAATTTACAATAGTAAAAAAATTAATAGTCTCATTAGCAAAATATATTTAATGTATTGGGCCAAACTAACTTAATGGCATTTAAATTCAGAAGCTAGTTAAATTTCAAACACAATATTTCAAGTCTCTAGGTATTGGTAATTTTCCAATTGAAGGTAACTGCAAAGCTTTTTATAATCTTAAATGTGATGGGATTTACCTGGATGCAATTGTGAACCAACACAAAAAAATTCAAAATGAATTACATTAATTCAATTCATTTTACGACCTTCTATAAATCTCTGAACAGCCCATCAAATGCGATATTTATTTAATAGTTGAAGAACCAGGTTATGTAACGTTTTATTAATAAACCAGACCTTAAAATAAATATATAATCGAAATTCTACGCTATTGTCTAATTAAATATGTGAACTGCATTAACGATGTTGAAGCTTGTTCATTTTTCTTATACTAAGTCCCTAAAAAAATCATTTTAAAACCATTGAAAATATATATTGTTGTAAATGCTAATTAGGTAATATTATATGAGTGTATTGTCACGTATACTGTATAATTACATGTTAAAATGTATTAATTCATTAAAAGTTACGTAACCATTTGTGGGCATTGTTTAATGATTATTCTGTTTTTTGTTCGTCTCGATCAGCAAAATAACACAATTCTTTCCAAAGATGTGCACCTTAAAACCCCTTTTCTATACTTCTTTGTGAAATAGGAACTTATCGTCTCAAATGTTCAAAATATGCAAAGTGTTACAAAATGTAACAAATTACACCCCAACCCGAGCTACAATGTCAGAACAAGGGACACCGCAGCCTGTACAAAGAACACTGACGAGAGTATTTAATAACAAAACCACCTCACAACCTCCGCGGTCTTTTTGAACTGTTTCAAGGGTCAAATTTCAAATGTGGTTAAGTACCTAGAGACCTCAAGTGTTTGCCAAAAGATCCAAGCTGTGCGTTTAAATATTGATATTGTCAGAATGGGGATTTATATCAGTGTTCTCTAGACGGTTCTTTTGGTTTTCTAAGTGTAATACACAGCGAATATGTATGTTATTGTATATTTTGTATTTTGTATTTTCTCTTGGTGTATATGTATATTAACAAGCACTTTTAAAGCAACAAATGCTGTAAAAAATGTTTGGCTGTTTGGCATATATTTTTTTTACTGTAAAACCGTCCCGTTTACTTAGCAGCCTTTCTGTGTGATAGTTTACTATAGCAATAGAGGTTCATTTAAAAATGTACCGCTGTCACTGTTTACAAAAATAATATGTATACAACATTTAAATATAAACGAGTTATTCTAAACATACCAACATTAATATTCATTGTCAGTTTTTATGCTTAATAAAAACACAGCCGTGGAAATCTATACTATTATAAAGAAGAGGTGGTGTCTGTGTGTGTGTGTGTTTGTATGAGGTAATCTCAAAAACTACTGAACCTACTGGGCTCAAATTGCACACAAATGAAGCTACAGCTCCGAGGATACATATAGAACTATTCCCGCTTCGATATTGTCCTAGGGCTCTGCCCCGTAGGCTTTCAAAAATTTGAGGTGAGAGATTTAAAAGTAAATATTGGTTGATGGTATCCATGGTAACAAAGAACAAACCTACAAAGTTTAAAAATGTAAACAAGCAGAACGAACTGTCAAATGAATGTTGATTTCATAATTCCACACAGCTGGTTCAAACATATTAAATACTGCACGAATATTAGAACAGAGAGGGTAAGGATTATAAATTCAAAATAATGATGTCACTAGCCCGAATGTAAACATTATTTGACATTACTTAAATGGAGCTGTCAAACCATATGTTAATGTAATTTCATTAGTGTATGATTCTTTCAGTTACTTCATTTGTTTATGTTTATGATCTATTATACTGAGTCTGTTCTAATATTTGTGAAATGCTGTAATAATATTTTACAGGGAATAAATCTTTGTAAATAAATTGTTCATGGATATAGGAAATAATTAAGATTCTATAATCAGAAAGTTTTGGATGTACGGATGTATAGATGTATGGATGTATGGATGGATGTTTGTGACAAGTAAACGCGAAAAATACTAAACCGACAAGGTTGAAATTTAGTATGATTATAGCTGACATTCCCGATTAACATATAGACATATTATTCTTACCTCAAAAATCCTTTCAGGCTCCGCCCTAGTGGCTCTGGCTCTGGAGTTTCTCATGTAAACCTTATGAGTATTCATATTTAAAGAAATTATTGAATTTTGTCAGCCGTTTCAACTTTACAAGTTGGTTCTATGATATTAAATAGCATTAAAAAGGTATAAGGCTTACCAACAGGGTGCAGCACTATTATGTTTTTTGCATTTATGACCAGAACCAACTAGCAACAAAAAGTTGTGGTACACAATGAGAACTTAACTTTTTTTCATGGTTTAGGTGCAGTGGTAGAATATTAGGGCTATGGTAGATACTATAGGACACTACATGATACTATATAATACCGTTTAAATTAAAAGACCAAATTTTAATAAACCGTGTCCTCTCCCATAACTAAAAGCATTTATACTTATATGCCAACCCCGTACGAAGGACGGGTACTCTGCTAGTGTATGATAAAAGTGAGTGAGTAGTGAGTGCTTTGCCTTTTATAAGTATAGATTTCCACGGCTGAGTTTTTATTAAGTAGTGGGAAATAGTATTAGATATGGCTAGCAAACAGTCAGCTATCGGTAACAAAACCCAAACCTCTTCCAGTTATTCATTAATTAAATCTTTCCATTAATTATTTTTTTAATGCACCGTAAATTCGATCAAAACATGGTGTTGCCCTACGCAAATCGGAGTCTAAATAAACCCTCAACTTTCGTTAAACAAGCAGCTGATGAATCTTTTAAACCGTCAAAATATACAAGGATATTAAAGAAAAACACCAATATGGAGGTTTTGGGGTAGTATTTTTCACATTTCATGAATTTGTTGCAAAAGAATATCTAATTCTCCATTTTTTTTTGTGCAACACATCTGAAACCAATCTTGAGATAAACTTAGTACGCATCAAGTAGCAAACGTTGATAAATTAAACAAGTATTTTTGACGGGAAAATGTTATTGTCATTTACTTCAAAATTTAAAAATACGTGTTTTATAATTGTTTCAGCTTTTGAATTTAATATTTTAAAATGTGAAACCTTAATATTACACCTAAACATTTTCTAACCCTTTTTATATGAGGATCTCGTTCCTTTAATACTGTAAAGCTAATGAATAGCCTATATTTAAAAAAAATTAAACATTATAACTTTAATTGCAAAACGCAACACACAAAACAATAACGAATGCATAACAAAATTAAATGTTTCATACGATTAACTTTTTAGGGTAATTTGGATTTTAACGAGATACCTGCAAATTATGTCTAAGACTCCACACAATACTATCTAAAACTTAAACAGCTTAAAATCTACTGAAACACAAATCTTTTCTCATCATTGTAAATGATTTTACCAAACAGAAGAGATCATGCTCATTTTACATTGGACTTTTGAGTCCAACACTAAGTTATACTGCATTATTGTTAACAATAAAGACAACTACATGAGAATACTATACATAAACAGCTGTTACTCACCGTTGGCTCTGGGGGGTTCCACGATCACGTGTCTGTAAACCACGTGACAATAAGTGACGTCATAAGTAATAAGACCACGTGGTCAGGAATTACAGTCAAATATAACTACGTTTTATCAAAATTTGCTAGGTTAAAACTTAACTATTGCATCTTCAGATGCCAATAAAATATTCAACAGTGAATTTGAAGTGAAATGTGAGGTTGTCAAAGTCTGGACTTCAAGGTTTTGGAGAATCTTAATTATCAATGAAGCAGTTTTACTACTTTTAATAACAATATTTCATTTTATAATTTTAATTTTACACATCTAGCATCTACTTTGGAACATTTCAACATATTTAGGTAAATATAGCAGTATTAATATGGACAGTTCTTACACATCCATCACAAATCTTAAACACGCGTTAACTTTCAAACAAGTCTTTAAGTCATAACATTGTTCTTCAACATAACAGCATTTGAACTAGGTATATTTTTATTCTGTTGACCCTATCATAATGGTCATGTAAATATAGCACTTGTCACATTCTAGGATAAATTTTTTTAACTCTAGAGCTACACACCTTTCTCAGCTAATACTAAGTTTTCCAACCAACTATACTAGAGAAAATTTTGACAAATCTTTGAATCACATCATCCTATTATTTCCAGATATTTTTGTCACTATCACATGACCTTTAATACTCAAGTGTCACATGAGTATACACAGACTAAATTTAAATATAATTCATAAAATATATAATTTGAAAACCTCCAAAGAACAGTTACTATATTCACCGTACAAATTTCATCATCATAATTAAATTAGGTAATAATTAGCTAAATCTAAATCTACCTGTTAGTTACGTAAGATGACTCAGTTTCCTGTGTCTGGTCGCAGCGGTTACGTGTGTATCACCCGACGCCACGACGTCAACTAAGGCCGCCGCCGCCGGGGGTGGACCTGGGGGCGGTACACGCCGGCGCCGCGTCGCGGAGGCGGGCCGCCCCCACGAAATAAAACGTTTAAGATGTTTTAGTTGTGTTGTCGCTCTTCGGTACCGCCCAGCACAACTATTTACCTTCAGATAAACGTTTGAAATTTGTTCCGAGGTGAATTTAGGTTAAGTGGCAATCTCGTGGGGTCTACAAGGGTTATGAATTTATAATTAAATTATATAGATTTTTAAAGTGAATAAAACTGTGAAGTTTTTCAATTGATAAGACAGTCGGGTCCTCCCCCCGGCGCGGCTCGGCCCCCGCGAGTTTCAAAATTTGGGTCACGTATATCGCGTCACGTTTACCCCAAACTGCTGCCCCGATTAAGCCCCTCGATGCTCCCCCCCCCCCCCCCAGCTCCAATCCGCATTACTCTCGTATGATATTTAATGTTGCATGAATATTGGATAACACGCGTGTATGCATGATTAACGCGATATCTACTCGGATGAGTCTTATCGATGGTCTTATCTATAGTACGGTAAGGAACGTGGAAAAACCAAGAGCTTTTTGTTAATTTAAATGATTATATTTTATGTGACTTCCTACTAATATTATAAATGAGAAAGTTTGGATGTATGGATGTATGGATGTATGTTTGTGACAAGTGAACGCGAAAAATACTGGTCGGATTGGGCTGAAATTTGGCATGACGATAGCTCACATTCCCGATTAACATATAGGCATATTCTTATCTCAAAAATCCTTTCGGGCTCCACCCCAGTGGCTCTGGAGTTTCCCATGTTAACCTTATGAGAAATGGAATTATTGAATCTTAACAGCTGTTTCAATTAAACAAGTTGGTTCTGTTCTATGATGTTCAATAGCAATAAAGTTACAAGGATTACCAACAGGGTGCAGCACTATTATTTCTTTTACATTTATGACAACAGCTAATTTGCAACCAAAAGGTGAGTGAGCGTAGCGAACGAACTTCAACCTGGAGGCGAGTTAGCGTAGCGAACGAGCTAACCTGAAGGCAAGTGAGCGCAGCGAACGAGCTCCAACCTAAAGGTGAGTGAGCGTAGCGAACGAGCTCCAACCTAAAGGTGAGTGATCGTAGCGAACAAACTTCAACCAGGACGTGATTGAGCCATGCGAACGAGATAATCTTGAAAATTAAAAAGTTAAACGGGGCAAAGCCCGCGGGTTACAGCTAGTATTTTAATATAAACGTCACTAAATTACCCGTAGACACTGGATTCTTTATAGTCCGTGTTTATAAAATGCCACATGTGTCGTTGAAAGTATTAAATATACTACTTATAACCATATTTTTTTAAGAATCTTTAATTTGACTGTACACTCACCTAGTATATCTTTCCACACTAGCTAAACTTTAATCAAGCAATTTTAAGTCGCTCAGTAATTTTACGTAACTTTCTAAAATCACCCTTAATGAAATTGACTGTTCACAGAGTTGGTCAAGAAGTAAAGTGGAGCGCTCAATAAAACCCTATTGTAATTTCGTATAGGAATACAGTATAAAAACGAATAAGTATTGTTAGACTAATAAAATTCAATTTGATGGCTATTTTAACTCATTTGTACATTATTTTAACCAATTTAATTTCGGATCACCAATAATTCAAATGGAATCACAACCCTTTTTTACTTATCATCATTGACTAAGTTATCATACAATGGAGTTTTTTTGTATTACAACCCCTACATTAAAGGAGGTACCCAAGCTGTACCGTTTACTACAAAACTAGTCTCTTTAGGTTTTCAAGGCAGTTGAGAAGACATTGTTGATGTACCTTTTGAAGTCTGTAAAATGACATTTTCTGTACTAACTATAATTATAGACCAAATTCAACCACACCAGCACAGACTAGAAACAACGATCACATAGTCCACATGAGTTGTGATAGGTCAAATTAAACCGATTATGTGAATGGCCATTTTGGGCTTAGTCGACAAAGAGCCGTGATTATAGGGACAAACGTTAGTTAATTAGACCATATCTTTCAACACAGGACCACTGCGATTCTTTGACAATAGCTTCTGCTATGAGAGTAACACAGTTTGTATCAGACAATACAATTTGTCCTTACTGTCGTTTCAGATGAATTTATTGTCTGGGTGTTTTTAGATTGTGGTGTTTTTTAAATAATAAATTCTTGTTTCTTCGTGTCATTGTATATGCAGAGTGTTAATAACTACTCCAAGTAACCAACGACGACCTCAATATTTACCATCTTGGTAATGAACAGTAGGTGTGTATGTTTCAAGTTTTGTTAGATTTTTTTTTAATTCCTTAATAAACTAACTTCAAGGGTTTACTGATTGTATTTATATGATAAACTAGGTTCTGTATCCGTGCTTTACAACGGGGAGAGGACTTGGGGAGAATTCGTTCATCTGTTCTATAAAATAGTTATAACATTCAACGTTCCACATCGTTTGATTGAGGTTTTGTGACTCTTAATTCAGGTAAAAATGGAAAATAAATTTTGGTTTGAATTATTTTAAAATCTTGTGTAGGCTAATATGAGACAATCTTACCAAATTTTCGAATAACTTTTTCATATACTTCATTCACCTTTCGTCTTCTTCGCCTCCCTTCTTTCCTTATCTTTTTGGTATTTTGGATTTCAATCCTGCATTTTCAAAACTACAAATCGTTTAATTTAAATAAACAAATTTTATTAGGTACATCAATATAAAAAAATCACTCACAATAAATAAAAAATCATAAACAAACATCAGCTCCAGCTGATATGAACTTCAGCAATATTGTTGTGCCTTTTCAATAGTGTTTAGAAATATTTATGAAATCATAATATCTAATATATAAAATTCTCGTGTCACAGTGTTTGTCTGCAAACTCCTCCGGAACGACTTCACCGATCGTAATGAAATTTGGTGTGCAAATTCTGTAGGTATGCGAATCGGACGTAAACTATTTCCCGTTTCGAAATTCTTAAAAGGGCTCCGCCCCAGTGGCTCTGGAGTTTCCCATGTTAACCTTATGATAAATGGAATTAATGAATCTTAACAGCTGTTTCAATTAAACAAGTTGGTTCTGTTCTATGATGTTCAATAGCATTAAAGTTACAAGGATTACCAACAGGGTGCAGCACTATTATTTCTTTTACATTTATGACAACAGCTAATTTGCAACCAAAAGGTGAGTGAGCGTAGCGAACGAACTTCAACCTGGAGGCGAGTGAGCGTAGCGAACGAGCTAACCTGAAGGCGAGTTAGCGTAGCGAACGAGCTCCAACCTAAAGGCAAGTGAGCGCAGCGAACGAGCTCCAACCCAAAGGTGAGTGAGCGTAGCGAACGAACTTCAACCAGGACGTGATTGAGCGATGCGAACGAGATCATCTTGAAAATTAAACGTAACGGTACTTTCTTTCCATCGGTCTGTCTTAGGGGAAACCTATAACTTAGGCGATACGAAGTTCGCCGGGTCAGCTAGTCTATACTATAATAAAGTTTTAAAAATTATTGGTTCAACCATGTTCAACGTATATAATAAAAAAAACTATTTTTATATAAAATAATAAAGAAAACAACCATCTTTGTATATTTAGTAGGTACATATTATTTAATTGTCATATGAAATTGAGCATTGAATAAAAAATTACTTATAACTCAACAAACCAACTGTAATATGATTATTAAAACGTCAAGAATTAACAAATTAACAAATTAACAAATTAATAAATGTGAGTCGTGAGCACACATTAATAAAGGAGACATAGTTTCCTTGAGTTTAGGAACGTTACATTGAAACGTTAGTTACATTGAGTTTAGAAACGGAAAGAACACTGTGTACAACTTAATTGTAGGTTTCCTATTGTTTCTGTAAAAATATATTATTAAGACTACACTATCAACACTTGGAGGCAAAGCCTAAGGTTGAAACAGCATCGGTTATGGAATCTTACTTAATTCCACAATCTAGAACAAACTAGAACCTACCACATATTTGTGCAAAACATTTTACAGTAGATTTCCCATCCTTATGGAACAGCTGAAGCCAATTTAAAACAAACAGTGAGGCACAAATCATGAGAAACTAGCCCTAAAATAATAGAAACAAACTGTAAAAAAACACGACAGCTACAGTACACCGGACAGAACTAACAGTAAAATTGGCTTCAGCTGTTCCATAAGGATGGGAAATCTACATTGTACTTAATTGGTTTGGATCAGCTGTTTAAAATTGTTAAGTAGGTTTTAAACATTTGTCAGTTTTACTTGTTTACATTGAAAAGTCAATGCAAACGTAAACATTGTGAATATTCTCATCTTGTCAAGGATACAGATCAAAATTTACTTTCGAAAACCTCACCTCAAAACGTTGGACGTCTACTTGCCGAAGCCTGAGGGAAAATCAGGAAAGAACCTACCTCAGACATTCCTAGGTATGTGAAACATCTATGAGCTTAATTATGGTCATATCGGTAAAGTATCGGGATAGTTTAGTCGAATGCTGGAGAATAGTTAGGTGCTGGTGCTAATTAATAAATGAATAATTTAATAACATGTCGAAAATAGTTTATGCATTATACAATTACCGAATTACCTTAGCAAATAAAATAAATCTATTTCAGATGTACCAATAAACATTACATAAGTATAATAATCACAGTCCAAAATAACCTTGTGTGAAGTGTGAAGGAACTGAAAACTTCAACTTCAACTCTAGCCTATCCTTAAACTCATTTCTAAAAAAAAATAAAAACGACTGAAAACCTAAATATTTATTGCCACTTAGGCTTCGTCCTTGGTCTTAACTGCTTCTTCGTTGACTTTGTCCTCGTGTTTCTCTGGCGGATGATCTGTACGAGTCGTTGTCGGTGGATTGGTATGATTGCTGTCTCCAGAATCAGGTACAGGTTTCTTTGATGAGCACGAAAAGAAATCTTTAATCGCAGTCGTGAGATCACTCATCGCCCTGCAAGGGTCAGGAACAAACTCTTTGAAGCGACAAATGCCTTCTTGTTGTTGGACTTCTCTGTCCACATTAGGTTTGACTTTACCTTCTGTAATCGGTTTACTTACTACCTTGTCGGACTTACTACCTTCACCTGCCTCCACCTTTACCTTCGGACCTGTCTCTGTGGTTTCCTTCTTCGTTTCTTCCTTGGGTTCAGTTCTTGTTGGATCTGGGATTCTAGGTGTTTTTGACCCAGGTGTGGTTATTTTCACGTCTCCCGACGGGTTCACGTAGTATTTTATGGTTGCTATGTAGTTCACGTCGGCCCCCTCCTTGGTTTTGGCAGAGAATGTACTCTTCTGCTCAATTGTCGGGGTTTTACTCTCGGCCATGGTCACTGAACTCGTATGTAAAATGTCAGAGTTGTATGTCTAGGATGTTAAATCTGCGGACCTGCCTGAAAATGTTTGCATTTGTATGATTCAAAAATATAAAGTTTATAATTTTTTCTACAAATAGTTTTAGGATATAACTGTGTTATCAACTATGAATAGCATGTTTACCTCTTTAATAGCAATTTGCCTGGACCAATAATGAAACACAGGTCTATTTCACTCCATTTCTAATTTGCTATTTGATTTACGGTTTTACATCATAAATGTTATATTTTAAAAGGGATAATTGTTCCATATAGTATTAGCAGTTTTATATAGTTTATTCAGAAACGTTTCAAATACATTTTACTAATTTATTCTATTAGACTTGCATACAATATTATATTACTGGGTAAACAATTGTTAGTAATGACTAACAAGTAACTAACATTCAAATCAATGCCCATTTACAAAGTGAATTTCCATTATTGTTGATGGAAACATTTTAGTCCTTCGTACAACTATGATATTATTATCAATAGTCTGGTGTCTAGACAATCCCACTTAATGTGAGGATAATAATAACGTAACTACTTACAGAGAATATGGGTTATAATGTCAGTCACCTTCCTTTACTTGAAAAAGTATACAAAAGATTTTTCTCGTCTTGCATCCTGATTTCGTGGATTTTAACCTCGCTACCATGGATACTATTTATTCCAAACAATGGTTAAAAGTGAATAATCTGGTTGTTCTTTTACAAAGATTTTGTTCAATAGGGCGAAACTTTTATTTGTAGTCTGTTTTTCTATATAAACTGATGTAAATGCTTTACACCTATTGTACAAGATTGGTCCAGTATAGACCTCGAGACTCAGATTCGAATTTCACCAGCTCCCTTTAAAACTTTAATTTAACATTAAAAGCCAGTATGAAAGTGTGGAATAAAAAAACTCATGAAGCTTGGGTTGAAATATAGTACTGTGAATTTTCAAAGCGTTTTAATAATTATTTGTTCATAATGCCTAAGCTAGTAGCCATCAGGCAATCTAGAAATTTTCATATGTTTAAAAAAAGGAAGTCTAAAAAATGAGTGATGCATATTTGTAATTTTCGCATTTAAGTTAAAACTGCAATTTCAACTTTATTCAACACTTCCAGCATCATAGATTACTTCTACATCTGTTATTGTTATCTGTTGTTGTTGTTACGTTGTTGTCTTGTTATTATTTTTTGTTGCAATGCTCCTTTGTTTCATGGTCATTATGTAACTTCTTCTGTTTGATATCTCTTCATTCTGCTCATGTGCTTAAAACACATATATTGTAAATGGTGTATCCGTTGATATGAATAAATAAAAATAAAATAAAATACAGTTGTACAAAGTGTGGATCAGTGACCCTGTATTGCCACAGTTTGCCTTCAGTCCAGTGTAAACTAAGTGACGACAGATGACCATGAGTATCACATGATTATGCCTGTGTACTCACTAATACTAATACTAATAATCCACAGCCAATATTAGCGCGAGATACGTTTGCTTGGTTGATTGAGCAAGATTTGTTGGCCACAGAGGCCACTGGCCACTCTCTTATCACTGTTAATATTTGCTTCTGTCCGCTTTGATGGTCAAGTTAAAGGCTCTACTCGTTATGGGAGAGAGTTTGTATATATTAGTTTATCGCCTCTGGGCAATCTCGTCAATTTGTATTGGAGTTTGCAGAAACTTTAAATGGGGAAAAGGATCGAAGTAGTTATTAGACGAGACGGATAATGTCGTGTACTACCAATTACTGTATGAACTATTTTTATACAGAAACAAAAATAAATTAATTGTAATTTGAGGGGAAAATCAATTTCACAATATCGCCTCAGTTAGTAAAAAAAAAATGGAAGTCGTTTTGGAACTGCGACATTTTAAACAGTATATTGCTAGTCTTCTAAGAAAATTTTATATTTACACAATTGAATTTAAAAAAATATTTAAGTATGACAGAATTTTGTGTTTTTATTTCTCATACCTACAAGACGTTGGATAAATAAGTTAATTACTTAATCCTAGAACGGAATATTGACGAAAATTGTATTATTTATTTACAAACATGAAGAGATTGATTTCACCACCTCCTATCTTAAAATTTAACATTTCTTACAAATTATCAGTATTAAAAACAATGATTCAGATGTATTATTGTAACCGTTACTTTTAGTACATATTGCTTCTGTTGAGTTGGTACAAATGATTTATTTGTGATTTAAAAGTTAGAGTGTGGAGTGGCTGAG